TGGCAGGTGGATTCCTATGTGGTGTTAAACGTGTTGATTTCCACTATTCTGCAAAAATCACTACATTCAAGCCTTGTCTTTTAACTGAACAACTTGTGCAAATTCAGAGTTTTTTACTGTATCAAAAACATATGCTAATGAAAAGCTTGGGGAGTTTGTGGGGTTTTGAAGAAGCAGGTTTTATATTCAGAATTTCCTATTTTTGTATTTATTTATTCATTCAAATAAATAATGGTTTAGATCTAAGGAGTGTTTGAAGTGCAGAGCATGTTGTTCAGATCCTCGGCTCCAGCTAAGCCACCCAAAGGAAGACGCGGGTGAGCTGGATGTGTGTGAAAGCCTCTTCTGATCCTGATCCTGCTGCTGTGTGTGGGCCCTTCTCCTGTCCTGGGAAGGTCTGAGCTAATTTGCACTCATCAGGGGCTGAAAATTGAGGGGTGCAGGCCTGAGGCACCTCAGCTTATGCTGCTCTTTGCTTCCTGGTGGTGGTAGGAAGGAACAAAAGGCACTGAAGTTCCTGTGGAAGGGCCCAAATTCATCCCTTGGTCATTCAGTGGTTGAACTTGATGATCTTAGAGGGCTTTTCCAACCTTAAGGATTCCAGTTCCTAAAGGGGGCTTACGAGAAGGCTGGAGAAGGACTTTTCATAAGGGCCTGTTGTGACAGGACAAGGGGGAATGGCTTTAAGCTGAAGGAGGGTGGGTTTGGATGAGATATTGGGAAGAAATTCTCCCCTGTGTGAGGGTGGTGAGGCCCTGTCAGAGGTTGTGGCTGCCCCATTCCTGGAAGTGTCCAAGGCCAGGTTGGACGGGGCTTGGAGCAACCTGGTCTAGTGGAAGGTGTCCCTGCCCATGGCAGGGGGTGCTATGAGATGAGCTTGAAGGTCCCTTCCAACCCAAAGCATTCCATGATTCAACTCCCAGGCCAGGTAACAGCAGGTCCTGTACACATGACACCACTACAGTCACAGCCAAAGTACCCATTGGCACGAATCCCCTTGGACAGATCAGTCCGTGGCACAGCTGACCCTTTGCTGCACCCATGAAACAACATCTCAGCAGCAGAACTGGGCCTGAGGAGCACCCAGAGACTGAATCACCAAATGTTTCTGTGTTTAATCTGCCTGAATCGAGCCCCCACCTATTTGTCCTCCCAGATTTGTTTGGCATGATGGAATGTGCCATCACAAGCTTGTTACGAGGAGTGACCAACATTCCGAGCTGTCCCTGCCCCTTAATGAGCAAAACCCTTCCTGGACGGGGACAAACACCAGCACAAACTTTTCCTGGTGTTCACACCCGCCTTGCACAAAGGTCTGGCTGCAGAGCATCTGTCAGGCTCTAAAGGACACGCTGCCAAGTGGAATTTTTACCTGAATGCAGGTGATACAGCAGAGGGGGTCACACAGGTCAGCGTTGAGTCGCAGCCTCCACGTGACACCTTCCCAGGGTGACCACTGCAAACTAAATAAATACAAAACAGATGTCACAAAACGTGAGGCTCCCTGTGCTCCCTCCCCACTGCCCAGATGAAAAGCAAGGGTCAGGGGAGAGTGCCAGTGCTTGCTGATAGTCCACGGGGTAAATATGCACAGAGGATAATAACCATGAGTTTTGGGGCTCATTTCAGAGCAGGGCCTGATGGCTGGAACTGGGCAGAGCTCTGGCTGGCTGTCGGTGCCTGCTGGGGTCAGCTGGCACCAACCTGGACTGGCACCCTCACCAGGGCAGGACAGCCCTGGTGCAGTTTAAGATAAAACTGTCCATGAACTGTTTTCTGGGTACTGCTGCTGCTGACAGCCCTTCACTCTGTGATGAAGGATGAAGTCTGGAAGCTTCAGACAACTCCTTCATCTCGGGTATTTCCAGGCTTTCAATGGGAATTGTCATTATGCTGCTGACCCTGATTCCATGACAGCATCTCTCCATGCTGAGCTGGTACAAAGACTCAAAGTGAATCAGCTTCAGAGAGCTCCCCTAGTCAGGAGCTCCTTTCCAAACCGTTCCCACTGCTCAGAGAAGCAGGGAACACATTATGAAGCCATTGATGACATTTGCCAGACATAAAATCGCTGGAGCTTTTAATTATGAGGCCCAGCCCTTCTGAAACAGGACAAGCAAGTTGGATGCAAACAGCATTAAAAATTGAGAGGAACACACATTTTGAGGAGCTGGGTTTGGGTGGTGTTTACTTGACAAGTCTTTGTTCTCGAGCTATCCCAGGGGTGTCTGCCGCCAACCTGATTTAAAAGGCTGATCCCAAAAGGAAAGTCAGCCCCCTGGGATTTCCAGCTTGGAGATACTGGGAGATCGGGTGTTATTGCTCCATGACTTTGTAATGTCCCTCAGCAGGCAGGAACAACGTGCAGACAGACCCCAGCTGGAGCAGCCCAGTGCTCAGGGAAGGAGGGAGGCTGAGGATTGCACTCGGTCGGTTCCACACCTGGGAGCCGAGGCTGGAACCGCCACTGAACCATTCCATGATTCCACAGTCGCCTCTGGCCCAGCTCGACCGGCACCAGCTGTTGCAGGGAAGGTGTAATAAGCTCCGTTGTGGTTTCCTTCCCTGCCCAGAGGAAAAGTTGCCTCCCTGCTCACAGTTAGAGATTTGCTGCGGGCGCAGCAGCTCACGGTAGCCCTGTCTGCACTGTGCATGTGGAGCTGGATGGAAGGCAGTGCCTTAAAACAGAATCCTGCCAACTCCCTGTCTGCATCCCAGGAACGTGAGCCCAGCCCAGCAGTCCTACTGAAAACCCTGGTGATGCACTTCAGGGAGTGGGGATCTCCTGCACAAACCCTTCTGGCCGGGCTCCGGCACAGCTGACATTCCCACTGTGCTTCCCTTCGGTTGGACCCAATCCCTTCCTCTGCCTGGCAGTGTGGCTGGCATTCCCTAAATCCCGCATTTCCTAGGGCTGGCCGCGTCTTCCCAGTGCACTCCCCTGGGATCTCGGCGAGAAGGGTGCTGGGGCGCCGGGCGGCCGCGTCACTCCGAGCATCATCGCCGCTCTGCGGGGCGGAAGAGGTCGTGCTCCTGTCAAAGCGAGCTGCCAAATCGCCCCTGTCAGGCCGGGAGCTGGCTCTCCCTTCCCGCCCGGCTCCCCCGGCACATTCCTCCCGCAGGAACTCAGCCGGGCGGCTCCTCGGAGCGGGGCCTGGACACGGGCCAGGCTGCGAGCTGGGCACAAGCCCCTCCAAGGGAACAGGAGCAGCATGGAACTCACAAATGTCCAGCTAAGGAACTCGGGCTTTCCCCAGACGACTGTCCCGAGGTGGAAGCTTTTCCTTCCTTCTTTCCCTCGTGTCACAGTCACAGCTGTTTCTTCCCGGGCTGGTAACACGGGGTCTCTCTAGATGTACATGCCAGGGGTTCAACACACACCCTGGGGTGGGGTGGAGGCCTGCAGGCATGAGCACTTTAAAATACTCTCAAAAGCCCCAATTTTTGGGAGGACTGGCTAACCAGAAGGATCCCACCCTGCCATGGACATGTCAGTATGACACAGCTGATATTTTCCAGCCTAATGATCAGTTCATGAGCTGACCCCATCATTTTAAAAAATGTTAAATCTTAAGACAAATGAAACCGGGCACTACAAAACTATTTCTTTGAAAGTAAGAAGTCTGCCCACACATGAGACCGTTTCCAAGAGTCCAGGGTCCCTCTGGGCCCCAAACACAGGGTCTGCAGGGCAGACCCAAGCACAGCTTACACATCCTCTCTGCAGTTTGGCTCAGAAACTCCAGACTGGCCTTGCCAGCTATTAAAATTTCCCTCTGGCTTTTGAAGAGCAAGAGAAGAGCAACAAGAGATACTGTGATAAGACTGCAGCTTCTAAAAATCCTTCCCAGAGTGCCCAGGAACAACACTCACCTTGGCACAAGGGCTGGAGCTCAAGTCCTACCTCTGCCACTCCAGCAAGAAGCGGCTCTTGCCTTCTCTGTGCCCCACCTGGGGCCCAGGTGAGAAAGGGAGGGTGGTCTTAATCCTGACAACAGTGATAATGGGGCCTGGACATCCCCAGGGAGGGCTGATGGTACTGCAGTGGCACAGGGATGCTCCCTGCCAAGGCTGCTCCCTGCCTCACCCCTGGAAGTGTCCAAGGCCAGCACTTGGAGCAACCTGGGATAGTGGAAGGTGTCCCTGCCTGTGGCAGGGGAGTGGAACTGGATGGGCTTGAGGGTCCCTTCCAACTCAAACCATTCCAGGATTCTGTGGCCGAAAGGGTCATGTGCAGTTTCTCTCTGGCACACAAGTACAGGGGCACACAGTGTGAGAGAGGGGCCTGCACTAGGTCTTCATCAGGGATGGGGCAGCCACAGCTTCTCTGAGCAACCTGTGCCAGGGCCTCAGCACCCTCACAGAGAAGAATTTCTTCCCAATACTCAATCTAAACCTACACTCTTTCATGGAAGAGCTGGGGCAGGATGAGGGGCTTTATGGCCAGGTAACCCCAAGGAGCACAGTGCCATGGAGAGAGTACCCTGATGGATGCTCTCCCCCACATCCCTCAGTGCTCTGGGGACCGGGAGAGAGGGGACACTTTGCCCTCTCCCCCCACCTCCCGGCACCTTTCCCTGCTGCAGACATCAGGGAAGGGAGAGAAGGCAGGAGCGGCGCTGGAGGAAAACAAGCCGTGAGCCGGCGCGGAGGAGAGCCCTGGGCTGCACAAAAGGGGCCTTGTTCCCCCACGAGGCGATCGGGCAGCACGTCCCCTCCCTCACCGGCGATGGAAAACCGAGCTCCAAGCACTCCTTCACCTCCCCTCGCCGCCTTAACCTCCCCATTGGGTACAAAATGTTCTCGGGTGCAGGAAACCTGAAGTTTAACACGCCCTGGGCTCTCGGTCCCCTTGCCCAGGGAGTGGGCGAAGGCCGCACAGCCCCCGGCGCTCCTGGGGCCACGAGCCCTGGTTACACAGTAACCTGTTGCTCCGGGTCCCAGCTCCACCTCTCGCTGCCTCCACATCCCTCCCCTCCTCTCTGCTCTGCCAAGAAACCTCTGTCACCTGCTCTCAGACAACCGGGGCGAGCGGCACCGGGAGGAAAGGGCAGCAGGAAGCCACAGCACGGGGACCCCCAGGCCGGGGTGCCGGGTGGGCTCTGCCTCGGGCTCCCCTCCAGCGGCTGGGGCACTGGGATCGCAGGCTGTGCAGGGAGCAGAGGGAGCTTGGCTGCTGGAGAATGGCAGCAGGATTTAACTAGGAGGGCACGGAAAACTGGGAGAGAACACGCGGGAGCTGAGGGAACTGCGGGAGACGAGAGCGGCTTCTCAGCACCGGTGAGTCCCTTCTCAAACCCTAAAACTTCACATCCCCCTCCCCAACATTTATCCACTTCAAAAGTCTGGCTGATTCCGCTGTGGAGGGAGTGTGGCTGGGGAGGGGCTGTGGCTGGGAGAACTATCTGAGTAGTTTTCTGTTGTTACAGTACAAAAAAAGGTAAAAACCTGTACTTTTCCCAGTGTTGCGTTTTCTGGGTTTGTTTCCCGTCCTGGCGATTCCCCACCGGGAGAGATCCAGTAGGTGGCACTTTCTTGGCAGCAAAATGTCCATTTGGCACAGAACGAGGCTTTTTTTTTGTTGTTCCTAATTAAGTCTGGAGACGTACTTTTGAGCAGCTGTTTGTTTGCAAACCTCGAGGTTTCCTCGTTTTGGGACACGCGTGGAATTTTCGCCGTTCCCCGCCGGGCCCCTGGACGAGCCGCTGCTCTCGGTGGGTGTGCTCTCCCTGCCCCGAGCCTGGCAGGACCCACCACCCCGTTTGGGCACGGAGGGGAGCTCGGAGCGGCCGCGCTCCCCGCCGTGACAGCTCTGCCTCCCTCTGCGTTAACATCGGAGCGCAGCATTCCCGTCCCCTTTCACTTCTGTTGCCTGGAAAACGCCCGTGCAAACTGCACCCAGCACAAGGCTCAGGGACGAATGATGTGACTGCCACTATTTTTAAATACTGGAAATAACTGTGACACAGCACAGGAGTAAAATCCGGTGATTGCCCCGCTGTAATTAGGGCAACGGGGAGTAACGCTTGCGTTGCTGGGCTGCTCCGAAACGCTGCCACGGGGATCGGATCCATCGGCGGTTGCTCGTCCGGGAGCGCCAGCGCTGGGCTGGGATCTGCCCCTAAAAAGGACTTTTTCTTAGTAGAAATAATGACAGCCAGAGGCTCAGCCCCCGGCTGACACAGCAGGGACCCACGCAGGGCTTCGCCCGCGGATGCCGCAGCCAGCAGCACATTCCTGGCTCCATTTCCTTGAGTGATGGAGTTTTCAGTTGATTAAGAAAGAAAATTAGTCCTCCACAGACAGAAAGGGCAGGCAGTGGTGCTGAATCAAGGAGCCCTTTAAAGGAGGACCGGGAAGAGGGGCTTGGGATTCACTGTGGGAATGTGTCTGTGAGAGGCAAAGGTCGGTGCTCGGCCCGGTTTAAAACCGAGGCTTGGACGTGCTTGGAATGTGCTGGGAAACAAAACACTTTTTGTAGGGCCACAGAATCATTCTGGAAATGAAAGGTTCTGAAGAGACACTAATGCACCACAGGACTCAGGAGGTTCCAGTCCTTGTGGCAACAAAGGAAGGAGTAAAACAGGGAGAACAAATGCGTTGGCTTGTGTGGGCTTGAGAAACATCCATATGAAATAAGCCCGGAGTGTGTGAGGGACTCTCGGAGTATTATTCCCAGAGGGCTGGATCCAGGGGTGCTTTGGAGCTGTGTCTCTGTCACACTCTGTTCTCTCCCTTCCGTGCCAAGGTGTGGAGTGCTGGATCAGGGCAGGTTTGTGGCTTTGAGGAAGACTCAGTGTTTTTCTCCTTGCGTGGGGCTGGTCTGGCCTCGAGTCTCCTTTCTGTAGGTGCTGTCAGTGCTGCCCTTCCCCGGGGAGACGGGAGTGCACGGCCTCTATTGCTTTGGCAATAAAAATATCACCCTCTAAAAACAGTCAAACCTTATGAGCCTGCCCTAGTGACCCCAAGAAGAAGTCCACTGACTTCCTGGACTGACGGGGATGGTCTCCTGCCCTCCGGTAAAGCTTTATCAGCAGTGAGGTGTCTGCCTGGCAGGGCAGTGCCAGCAGATCCAGCACCATGTGACTCTGCCAGCACAGCCTCCTGAGACACCTGCTTCGGCCAAGGTTCAGCAGGTGCCCAGGAAAACACCCACCTGCCTGCCAAGGAGCTGCTCAAGGCTCCCACTCAAAGGGAGGGGAAGGATGGTACCTCTAGAAACCCTTCCATTTGTCCAACTACATTGTCTTTGCACCACCAGAAGTGGTGCCAGGCACTGTACGACGCCTGAGTGACACAGGACACGAGATCCAGGGAGGTTCAGGAGGCCTGAGATCACAGTGTGGCTCCAGATCTCCATATGCTCACAAGACCACAGTCAGGAACACAGCAGAGAGGAACATTAAGGATTTTCATGGAGCGGGGAGGCTCTGAATAGCATCTCTGTCCACTTGCAGAGGGTTTGAAATGTCAGGCTCAGGAAAAAATATGCTGTCACCTATCCCTAAAGTATTTAGTGTTCCTGCATCAAATGAGTATCAAGGAGGAGAGGAAGGGGATCCTGGGAGAGTTGATCCCACACACTGGTGTCATGCTGTTCCCACATGGACAAGGCCACCTCTGTGCACAGTCACAGGCAAGAGTCTGTCCTTTCCCAAGGCAGTGAGAGTTTTCCTGTCTCTTGGGCTGGCGACAGTACTGCCTCCAAAACTGAAATGCACACTGCCAGAGGGGTAACCAAAAAAGCCCTGGCGTTTTATTTCCTGATAATCCAGGTAAATTAGGAGGAATGGCAATTAAGAAGGGAGGGAAGGGTGTGGAGCTGAGCTGGACCGGTTTGGAGATCTTCCCCGTTCCCCTGCACTGCAATTCCCCAGGAGAGCCCAGCCCTTGTTCCCACTCCCCAAGTGCTCCCGAGGGCGTTACTGCAACGTGCTCACTGCCACTGAGGATCTGCTGAGGAACAGAACAAAAGCCCCTGGGAAGAGGTGGGGAGTCACAGGCTCTGCCTGCTCAGCTGCCCTGGGACAGGGCCTGAAGTGCCCAGACAAGCTGCCGGGGCCCTGATTTGGTTGGAAGCACCAAGTGAGGCTGGAGGTGCCTGTTCCTGCAGGCACAGTGGAATGAGGGGACCCTCACAAGGCAAGAGGGTGATGGCAGAGGCTGAGCTGCTCTGGCCCATCTGGCACAGTGTCAGACCCTGCTCGGGATGCTCTGCCCTCACATCCATCCCCGCCTTCGGAGCAGGGTCCAAACAACCCCTCTCACAACCATCTCCCACAAAGGTTCTCCTTATCCTCGAGAGACTGGCAAATACATCTCACATGTCAAAATCCTCATCTCCAGTGCCAGGGGCACATTCCCACATCCAGTCCACAGCTGGGTCTTCACCTGCTGAGCTATTAACCCACTTCTCCTTTCCCACTCCCTGGACACTGCCATGGTTTCTCTCAGCCATTTCAGCTGGATGGAGGAGCCGAGTGTCAAGACCCAGGGCAGGAAGGGGCAGGATGGGATTTTGCAACAGCCCCGGCTGTTGTGATGGGCAGGTGTGGCACAAATGAGCCCTCATGGCTCATGGGCCTCTGACCCAGCCTTGCCCCAGGTGAGGGCAGCTCCTTGCCTGGCTGGTGGAGCAGTAACACTCCACATTTGTGGGTTGGGGTCTTTCAACACCACTTTGGAACAGGCCAGGAAATTCTTTCCTATTTTTGGTTTCTGGTTGGGGCACTGGCCCCCAAAAGCTTTTCATAATTTGAACTTGTTTAAGTTGAGTCCTTCCTGGATCCTTCTTGGTTTTTTTTCCCCTCTGTCTTATCAGTCTCAACCTGTCCAGATTTATATACTACAAAGGTAAAGTGCAGCCCATCCGAATGGCAATAAACCAAAGTTCAGACCCCTCGGCTGGTTCAGAAAGTGAAATAGTGCTGCTGCTGGGACGGCGATTAAGATCAGGTGAACAGGCACAGGCTGAGTCAACACCACCCTCCCCCAGACTGTTTACACCTAACTTCCCTCTCGCTGAAGATGACCAAAAGTGGGAACCATCCGGGAGCCAAGATAGCTGGAATCTCTTCATGCCTTACGGGTGTTGGCTATCGGAACTGGAGCTGCCACCCAAAGCCACGCGTCCCCCAAATTCCCTCACCAGCAAATACAAAGGGAACCCCAAACCTGATTCATCTCACTGCTGTGGACAAGGCCAGTGGCTTGTCCTGGCCTGTCACTGCTCACTGCCATCATCAGGACTCCCCTGGGTTGCTCCTCATCCCACCGCTGCCACCAGTCACAACTGAGACGTGCGGACACAAAGTCTCCGAGTCCTCCCAACTCCTCCATGGCCTTTTCACAAGGGCATGGAGTGGCAGGACAAAGGGGAGTGGCTTTAAGCTGAAGGATGGTGGGTTTAGGTTGGACAGTGGGAAGAAATTCTTCCCTGTTAGGGTGGTGAGACCCTGGCACAGGTTGCCCAGAGAGGCTGTGGCTGCCCCATCCCTGGAAGTGTCCAAGGCCAGGTTGGACGGGGCTTGGAGCAACCTGGGCTAGTGGAAGGTGTCCTTGTCCATGGCTGGGGGTGGCACTGGACGGGCTTGAAGGTCCCTTCCAACCCAAAGCATTCCAGGATCTATAGTAAGTCAGGTGTGAGGCTTTCAGTGGTGACTGTATGCAGGCAAAGCAGTGACTCTGCCTTCGCTCTCAGTGCCAAGATAAACACAGAGGTGTCCATTTGCCTGAGCCCGAGACAATCCTTTCATCAGTAAATTCACTTCATAAAAACACCGGGGAGAGTAGGAGAGAGAAAGGTAATTGCACCCACGATATCCCTTAATAAATCACAGGCTGGAGCCTGCTCTCATTTCTGATACTGCTGCCTCTTAATTATAGCTGTGTTTGGCTGAGGAGACAGGAGGAGAGCCAGGCTCTATGCAGAAGGGAGCACTAATTAAAACCTCTTTTCCCTGGAAAGATATTTAACGTCTTCCTCTGGGGAAGAAGCAAATGGACTTGTCTCTGGCCATGCCTGTGGGTTAACCTGGAACACTGACTTTCACACAGTCAGGCAGTTTGTCCTGTTTTCAGTAGCTGATGCTCCTGGCATTGCTCCTGGGTTGAGATATTGGACTTTCAAAAGTCCTTGGAGAAGGAAGAGGAATAACATGTACCCAGGTAGGCTGTGCAGGTGTGGATGTAAGGTTAGGAGCAGGGGTGGCTCCTCAGTCCATGTACACTGACCACAAAAAGGGTTTTGCACGTTGTCCCTTGACATGTGACACAGGCAG